AATTAATTTGATTTTAAACTTAATAATGTGCTTATAAACGTAATTATTATATAAATTAATTAACACTATAATGAACTTAAATATTACATACATACGTTTTTATAGTTTTAAACGCCATTTAATTGTGCAATTAAGATTTTTATTTTAAGCTAAGGTTTTATGGTATTTTTTTACAGTTGTATATATGTATGTATGTGTATATATACTATTTTGATTATTTATATAAAATATTATAGTCCATATACCAACTAATGTACTTATTAGTAAAATGTATATTTCCTTATTCCCTAGCAGATATGCCCCATCATACTCTCCATTGTTTCTGTTTTTTATTTATTTTTTTATGCCATCTTAGATAGTTTAGCTTGGGGCCATTTTGTTTCTTTGACGGCTAAATGATAGAATAGAGTTTTATAAGCTATTATTTAGCTATGGGTAACTTATTGTATTTAAGTATTTCAAAGATGGAAGACTAAACTATCGAATATATTAAATAAGAGATACTTATGTATGACATAGATGCTTCTATATCAAAGAAAACCCTTAAGTCCCGACCCTGTATAGCTAACAGCTACTTTTGTATCTGACAGCTATATGCTGTATCTCATATATCTCAGACTATCTAATGGAGTCTCACTCACGCAGCTACTTTTGACAGATATTTATGAAAAATGTTTGCCTGTTGTCTTCAGAAAGAAATGCCAAAAGGAGAGAGTGAGAGTGAAACAGAGAGAGCGAAAGGGATAGACATAGATAGCTGGAGCATTTTCAGCTTCACTCATTCGAGTTTTATTACAGCTGTCCAAACCGCGTGCGCCCGCTTAAAAATGCAAAAACACAACAACAACAACAACAAACAAAAACAAAAAAAGAGAAATTTTCGCAGTTGGCTTTGTTTGACCTTTGGCTTGGCCGTGGGCGTGCGTTGTGCAAAAAATAAAAGATCGGCCAGCGCGCAAAACTGTTTCTAGCGGGTCGTTAGTCAGTTGAAATTCAATGCTATCTACACACACACGCACACATGCAGAGGCACACGCACGCACGCACACGCGCACACACAGAGTCGCAAATTAGTTCACTAGGTGCCTGATTGCTGTCCGCTGTTGTTGTTGTTGTTGTCATTTAAATTTAGCGTTGAGCAGCAGCGTACAGCGACTGAAACATTGAAAATCATAAAGAAACCCAACAACAACAACGGCAACAACAACAACAACAACAACGACCACAATGATAATAATAATAAAAATTTCGCACATATCTGTCCTTGACACACATTGCGTATACGCAATTTACGCAGCCGGCGTGCGAGCGAGCGAGCGAGCGCGAGTGCGTATACGCATTAGTGTTCTATGTGTGCGCGTGTGCGTGTGTGTGCTTGTAGTTTGTCTGTGACCTACTTACGTATCTGCCAGATACAGATAAGAACATATGTTTCGCAGTATTCGCAACAAAAAATCAACAGCTGCTCCAACTAGTCACTCTCTCTGTCTCGCTCTCTCCCCGTGCCCCTCTTGAGGCGGAAGTGTTTGGTCTGCCTGAATGGGCGTGGCTGGCATCTCTATTGAACACACGGCTGCATTATTGGCATTGATTAATTGACGCGCTGCCGCCAGTTCAAAAGGTGCGACATAAGACAAATTATGCGAATCCACTCAAATATAAATTTCATTTTTATTTACTTACATATTTATATTTTTGGTTATTCTTTTTTTTTTTTTTTCAATTTTGGACAGCTGCAAAAATGTGCATAAAATGTTGGCCAAAGATCAGCGCAGCAGCTAAAGATCAATTGCAGTCAAGCAATTGGCCAAGACAAACGATATGCGAATTTGCAGTTAGCCAATAAAAACGAAAACCCCAAGCGAGATATGGGAGTCTATATAGGAAGGGATCATGAATACATATATACATACATATATTTGCATGAATGCGTCTTTTAAATATTCAATTACTAAAAGAAAATACCAACTAAAAGGAATACATGAGGGTTAATACATATACATGGATACCGAGATACCTGCAAATGCATTTGCCGATCTGCCACGCCCCT